GCTCTGAGGGTGGAGTGGTGTCAAGCAGTGAGAGCAGATGGGGCTGGGAGCCAGGCCTTCTCACTTCCGTTTCTGCCATTGACTTTGGTCATATCACCGCTGTGCTTTGTGCCTCACTGTCCCCTGTGTGACCTGGGAGGGTCACTCGCCTGTCCCCGGGCTAGGGCGAAGGGGATGTTTGCAGGCTCCGTACACTGGCATGGAGCCGATCCCTGTCCTTTCGAAGCCCTTCTTAGGTGAGCATGTCACGGAGTGTTTTCCTCGCATAGCCACCCCACAGAGGGGCTGCCCGGGCTGGGTGCTGTCCTTTCACATCCTGGGGCTGAGCTCAGATCCTGCCTGGAGCACTCCCAGGTCTGGGGGCGCTGGGCTGGAGCCATCGCTGCGTGGGGCACACACCCAGAGGGCCATTCCTTTCACCCTCCCGTTTCCTGAACTGGGGGTGTGCCCGTTAGCTGCCTCCTCCGTCAGGGCTGCAGGCCTGGAGATGATGGGCCCTGGGGGGCTGGAATATGCTCTCACTAGGCTGGGGGGTGGGGGATTGCTGGGGGTCTGGAGTGTTTCCCCTGGGGAAGGGGTGCACCGAGAGGTGCCTCGCATGGGAACCTGGGCCCTACGTAGTAGCTGTCTCTGGCCTCTGGGCAGCTTCCAATGGTGGCAAGGGCAGCTGCTGGGGCTCCTGCTGGGCTTTCCCCTCCCTCTGGAGTCAGAGGCCCGGCAGCCTCTGGGCTCAGTGTCTGCTCTGGATTTCCAGCCCCGCCCGCTGGCTCCCCCTCCAGCTGCAATGGGTTTGGCTTCAGCGCCTGCCTCTTCCTTGACACCAGCTGCCCTTTGGGGCCTGTGGGCAGGGGCGGGAACGGCAGGACGGTGCCATCAGGGTCACGCAGGGAGCCAGGTGCTTCCGCTCCAAACCCGCCCCTGGGGGGGTGGCTCTGCTGCTGACGGCCGAGCCCAGCGGCTCAGACGAGATGGGCAGGGACCCGGGCGAGCCAGGGAGCTCCTGCGCTCACTGGGGTCCTGGCTTCCCACGTCCCCCATATACGCCCGGCTTGTCGGTGTGTCCTGCCACTTCCCGGCTCCCCAGCGAGGGAGCCCTGCTCGGCTCCCCAGCCGGCACTGTCCCTCGCACCAGGGGCCGGGCTCTGGTGGGGCTGTGCCGGGGGCACCGTCTGCAGGGGGCCTGGATCCCGGGGGGAGGGGAAGCGCTACCCCGAGCACCCTGGCCCCTGCCTGGTGGCGGGGGCTCCCGTTCGCGGCACAGCGGCCTGGCTAATCCCCCTGCCCAGCGGGTTGCTCCAGATGCCTGGTGTGCAGCTGCACGGACATAATGGGCAGCTCAGCCCCTCCCCCCAGGCAATAAAAAAGGGGGCAGGCTCCGAACTCTGCTGCAGCTCCTCCAGCAGGGCCTGGTGTCCCGAGCCGGTAAGGACTCCCCCCACGCCCGCGCCTCGCTCCCCCCCCCCATGGCTGTGTGCGCCAAGGAGCCTCCAGCTCTTGGGGCCTTTGGGTGCCGGCAGTGGTGGGCTGGCTAAGTCGCCCTGGTAATCGTTGATTACCCCCACGCTGGGCAGAATCCCTCCCGCTCCCCACCCACCTCTGCGCAAAGGCCACCAACCATCCCCACGCCTGCCTGCCCTGCTGCCGCCCGTACTAGGAAACTAGGCCAGCCCGTGGCCTGAGCACAAAGCAGGGAGCTGCTAGGTTTCCATTTCCGGGCTCTACGCTTGAGCTAGTCACTTTCCCCTTCCGTGCCTCGGTTTCCCCATTGTTGGCCCAGGGCTCAGGGAAGGCCCTGGGCAGCTGTAAAGCACGGTGTGAGGGTTAGTTAGTGTCCCAGGATAGCGCTGATTACACTCCTCTCTGGGGCAGTGGCCCCCTGGCACGCCCTGTCGGGAGGGGCCTGCACCCAGAGCCCTGGGCAGCGTCGTGGGGAAAGGCATCCCTGGCGGTGTCTGCTGGGAAGAGCTGGGCTGACTGTCACGGGCTGGTTCTGGTGGTGCTTAGTCCCACAGTGACTGAGCGAACCCTGGGGCCGGCTCAGCCCCTGCGGGGCACTGCCTTCGCGTGTTCCCTGGGGCTGGGGGTTGTGGGGCTGCAGGCTCCATTTGAAACCCAAGAGAGAAATACAAGCCCCCCCCCCCCCCCCCGAGCAACCAGCTGCAGAGGGCAGTGGGCTGGGTTCAGGGCGCCAGCACCCAGCTAACGGGTGGGCAGCAGCCGTGCCAACTACAGCCCTGCGTGGCAGCTCTCAGCCCCAGGCTGGGACATGACCCGAACTCCTGCGGTGTGTGGCATCATGTTAAAAACCCAGAAATCCCCCCCCCCCCCCCCCGGGGACGGGGGCGGCTGTTCGCTGGGCTCTAAAATGCAGCAGTGAGCTGGTGCCTGGCGTGGCCTGGCGCATACACGCCAATAGCTCTGGCTTGGCAGGGCACGACTGGCGCAAGGCGCCCCTGATCCAGGACGGCCACCTGCCTCCCGTGAGGAGCGATCGCAGGACCCCCAAGGGCATTACAGTGCCTGGCCCTCGCAGGGGGCCGATTAAGCCAGTGCCGGCGGCCGGCCTCACCAGGCCCAGACCTTGGGTGGATCTGCCCCTCGGAAACAGCCATGGCCCTCCCCAGCCAGCAGCAGGGAGGGCTGAGGGGCTGGAGCAGGGGCAGAGGGGCGGTGCCTGGGCAGCCCCATTTCAAGCCCCCGTCTCCTAGGTGCTGCGAGCACGTCGCCCTTCGGCCTGGCCACCATGGAGACACGCAAGCGGGAGATGGAGCTGCTGAGCAACAGCATGGCCGCCTATGCCCACATCCGAGGTGGGTGTCTGGGGGCAGGGGGGATGTGCAGACCACTTGGGCACTGGCTGCTCCTGGGGCAGATGGGAGGGGGGAGCAGGGCAGGTGTTTAGCCCCCCCCCCTTCTCAGTTTGGGCAGCTGCACAGGGCCATGGGAGCGCTGGGAACTCCGGGCTTGGCAGGCACCAACCGCCCAGGGAGAGCCCACGGGCTGGCTGCCCTCTGGCTGGGCATGGGTGCCCAGCATGACAGGTCTTGTCTCTCAAGCCCCTCCCCTTTGTTTCCGTGCCAGACAATCCTGAGAGTTTTGGCCTCTATTTTGTCCTGGGCGTCTGCTTCGGCTTGGTGTTAACCCTCTGCTTGCTGGTGATCCGCATCTCCTGCCGGCCGCACACCCGCAGCCTCCCTGCCAAGCCCAGGAGGAGCCTCCGGGACGTCAGCGAGGAAGAGGAGGAGGAGGAGGAGGAGGAGGACACGGTTGACAACGTGGCGACGGAGTCCCCGCTGCCCATCACCGAGATCCCCCTCGAGAACCACAGCCCGGCAGATGGCACCTTGACTGTCAACGTCTTTGCCTCGGCGGAGGAGCTCGAGCGGGCCCAGCGGCTGGAGGAACGGGAGCGCATCATCCGGGAGATCTGGCGCAACGGCCAGCCGGACATCCTGGGCACGGGCACCGTGGGCAGAGTGCACTACTACTGACTGCGGGCACGGGGCCTGGCTGCCCAGCTCCCTGAGCTCAACTGTGATGGCAGCCCCCCGGCCACGTGGGGCCCTGGTAGGAGGGCCCCCTGCACGCCCTGCTCTTGGGCACCCTTTCCAGGAGTGCCTGTGAGTCTGGAGATGTTCCCCAGCCCTTTGCACAGCCCCTGGGCACCGTGTCTGTGTGCGAGCTGGGCGGGGCTTGGCCCCCTGAAATGCCCCGTTAGCTGGCGCCAGCTGCGCATGGCGTTTGTTACTGGCGGAGCCAGGCTCTGCCGAGCAGCAAGCTCCTCGAGGCGCTGCTCTCGTTAACTGACTGCGCAGGGCCCCGCTAACGGTGCCGGAAGCGTCGCTCTCACCCCTGGTGATGGGGAGCCCCCCCTTTCCTGCAGGAGCTCCCTGACCCCACCTGATCAGGGACACGGTGCAGGCCCTGCCAGGCTGGCTTCCCGCCCTCAGCGAACCAAGTGCATGGGACGGCAGCAAGGAGAGAACTGAGTACCCGGGAAGCCCAGCCCCTGGAAGGGTCCTGCTGGGGCATGGATGGACTGGGGCTCATGGACGGACACTCCCAGAACTGGCCACCATGGGTGGCTTCGTCCCTTCCTCTGAAACACCTGGTACTGGCTGGTGTTGGAGGGACAATGCCAGGCTAATGGGTCCCCCTGGTCCAGCCCCCACGTAGTGCAGAGTGCTAGGTAAGGTCGAGCTTAAAGGCTAGGGGCAACGCGATAGTTATCGGTCTGTTAGCAGTAGTTCCTGGGGTGCTCATGTCAAAGAGTGTGGAGGAGTCAGGGCCCTGCACCCCCCACTTCCTGCGATTCACCGTGACTCTCAGCCAGCCAGTAAAAGAGAAGGTTTATTAGACGACAGGAACAGAGCTTGTAGGTACAGAGAACAGGACCCCTCAGTCAGGGCCATCTTGGGTGTGGGGAGCCCAGACCCACGTTCTGGGCCTCGCCCAATCTCCCCAGCCATCTCCAAACTGAAACTCCCTGCAGCCGGCTCACCCCCCGGCTCCTCCTCCAGCCTTTGTCCAGTTTCCCGGGCAGGGAACTGCCAACCCTCTCCTGGGCTCAGGTTACAGAGGGCAGTCGCCAGCCTTTACGTGCTGGCCCTCAAGTATCATCCCCCAGTGAAGTCACCCCCTTATTTCCCATCCCCATGTCGTAATAATGCAGACAGTAAACTAGTAAAACTCCCATGCACCAGTCCCAGCTCAATCCTCCCAGCTCGGTTCAGCTGCCCAGCCGTGCCCACGGCTCCGGCGGCCGGCATGGGGATGGGCTGCCCGTTGGCTGTGCAGTGACTGGCTTTGCATTCCTGCACGAGCGGGTGGCGCTGCAGGTGGCCTAGGGCAGCATAGTCCTGCATAGCCAGTCCGAAGGGCTCTGTGCCCATGGGGGCAGTCCCAGCCCTTGCAGGAGAAGGGAACCCTGCTGACCCCATGGGCCTGTGGCTGGACCCCTTTCCTAGCACTGACAGGTGCCTGCTAGGCCCATGCACATGTCTGGCCCAGCAGTCCAGCCCACTGCCAACCCCTCAGGCAGGCAAGCCCCAGAGCTCATGGTGGTGAGCCGCCACGCCCCCCAGGGCACCAGCCACTCCTCTTGGCCACTGGCTGAGCATGGGCTCCTGGCTGAGGGCGTGAAAGGAGCCAGGGGGCCAGCAGCTGCAGGGAGGGTGGTGCTGAGCTGCTGCTGGTGCTGACTGTGTCTAGCTCCGGTACTATAGGAAGGGAGGAACATGGGCAGGGGTTTGGGCCCAGGACCGTGACTCTTACACTCTGGGGACCCTGTCTGTGCTAGGCCCTGGCAATGCAGCTGGGCTTTCTTGGGCCAGCGACAGGGGGTGGGGGCTGCTGGAGGCAGAGAGCGAGAGCGAGACCCCCCACCACCACTTCACCCCCAGGGCAGCAGGGATCCTCTCCATGGGCTGTGTCTCCCCTCCAGCCGAGGGGCAAGGGCCAGGGCGGGGTGTTGCTCTTGGACACTGGGGTGGTACCGTGCAGCGCAGGGACATTGCTGCACCTTGAGCAGTTGGTACGATTCCCTCTGCCCACCTCGTAGCCACTCCCTGGGGAGCTCCAGGAAGGGAAGTCGGGGCAGTGCTGCCCCCACCCGCTCCAGGTTGGAGCCTGGCCCCAAACCAGCCCCTTGGCTGCTCAGCAGGGTGGGTGAGGTCGGTTACTGGTGCTTCCCTGGGCAGCACCGCCACAGCACCCTGATCTGACTGGGAGGCCCACGCTGTCATTGCAGCCAGCTTGGTAGGTGCCCGGCCAGCCTGCCCCCTAGAGCCTGTTCCCAGAGCGCGGGGGGGTTAGACCAAGCCTGACCTCTCACTTCGGGGTTTGCAAAGGACGTTAATTGTGGCAATACGGTCAGAGCATTTGGCCATCTCTGCCTGGGCCAGGGGCACTGGGGCTTGTGCCTAGGAGCGTGGGGGAGCCCCACAGCAGCATGCAATGCCTGGCTCCAGCCAAAGGAGGGTCTGGCCAGCGTGGGGCCCGTCTCTGGAGTGCCCCCAGGGCAGTGTGGGTAGCACAACGTAGGTAGAGCTCAAGGCTACCACGTCAGAGCACTCTGGCCCTGAAATGTGCTTTTATAAACGGTATGGACCCTTCCTCAAAGCAGCGTGGTCTCTTGCGGCATCTGGGGCTAGCCTCCCTTCCGGCCCCTGGCTATTCTCCTCAGGGCAGCGCCGCAGCCCGGAGCTCAGCTCTGCCCGCTGGGAGCAGCCTGGTCCTCCGAGTACGCCGAAGAGAGCAGAGAGCCCTGCGCTCCAGAGACAGGTTCCAGCCCCCCCAGGATTCACCCAGCACAGAGTCAATGCAGGGCAGCACCCAGGCCTGAGTGGGCTGGGAGTGGGGGGGGGGGGGGGGGAGAAAGAAGAGAGAGAGAGACCTGGCTGATGGCGAGGTGGAACCCAGCACGGCCACTGCCCTGCAACAGCAGCCAGGCGGGCAGGGCCGGCACTGAGCAGGGCCGAGGGGGCAGGCCTCAGGGCTAGCCCACAACATTTTGGCACCTGAGGTGGGGAGCTCAAGTGACACCCCCTTCCCCCCTCGCTTGGGCCAAAACTTTGAAAGGTCTCCATTCTGGGTCCTAGGGGCGCCCCCACATACACACACAGTCTAGCACCTGAGGCGGCTGCCGCCTCAGTTCTCCTCATGGTAAGGCCAGCCCTGGCAGGCCTCCATCCCTGTCCCTGCACCCCAGCTGCTGTGCAGCTTGGGTCAACAGCCCCCCTCTCTGCACCTCAGTTTCCCTGGCTGCAAGAACCCCTTGGAGCAGCCACGAGGGCAGTAGGTGCAAGGAGCAGTGAGGGTCCAGGCATTAGAGCCTGTGCCCCTGGCAGGCAGATGCCCCAGGGCACCTAGGAGCCCCAACCCAGCAGCTGCACCTGCCTCCCCCCCCCCCCCCCCATCACCTTGGTCCAGAGCCCAAGCCTCCCCCTGCCTTGTGGGAGCTGTCGTCTGGAGAAACCTTCCCAGGCTCCTTCCCCTCCCCTGGCCCCAGCATTCCTGCTAAAATTAGCTGCTGTCCCTTTCCGGCAGCATCTGACTTGCCCCATCACTCACTCGCTGCTTCCTGGATGGGGGGGGCGGGGGGCGGCTGCCGGTTCTGGGCTGGCTGCCAGCAGGATAGCCCAGCGCACTGCGGTTAGCGCAGCCAGCCGCAAGCCAGGGCTGTGGGGGCGCTCCCAGCTCGCTGGGGTTTGGGCTGCTTTCAAAGTCCATGGCAAGCTACGTCCCCTCCCCAGCCTCCTGCGCCAGGGGCTGCCCTGCACTCTGCGCCCCAGCCAGCGCTGCTGTTCGTTCAGTGCCCTGTGCGAACACGCCCCAGGGCCCCCCTTAGCCCCTCGGCCAGCGTGAAGGACTCCCTGTGCCTCTCACTTCCAGCCGCTGGCACTGATCCCACGGCAGCCCAGAGCCACCTGCCCATGCTGGTGCAGTGCCACATGGCACCCCGGGGCCGACCACTCAGCCTGCTGGCTCCCGGGCAGCAAAGGGCCTGGCCCAGCCCAGCCTTAGGCGGGTCGAACAGCAGGAGCTGTGCTGAGCCCGGGCCAGCCCAGAGCTGCCTCTGCCAGGCCGCGGCTTTGCTGGACTGTCCTGGGGCAGCCCCCCTCCCCGCCTTTGTGTGTGGGAGAAGAGCGAGACCTTCCCCTGCCTGAGACCACAGCCCCCCTCTGCCCCAGCCCAATGTATAAAAATAGCTCATTCCCACCAGGGCCTGGGCCCCCTGCCGCCAGCTGTAACAGGACCCAGATGTTTTCCAGATGTGCCCTCCTAGCCCCAAGGCGAGCAGGCTGCCAAGAATGCAGAGAGACTTGTGTCGACCTGCACCGAGCTGATAAACAAGGGCAGGATGCCAGGTGGGCCCCCCCCGGGAGTGAGGCCTCTGGGGGGCAGGGGGGCCAGGCTGACACCGTGGAAGAGACGGGCTCTGCCAAGCCAGGATCCAGTAAGCAGCTTCCTGGGGAGGCTGCAGTGGGAAGGAGGGCGGTAGAAGGGATGCCTGGAAGGGGGAGGGGACAGGAGCCCAGAGCGAGCCAGCTGCCCTCCCATGCCAGCCTGGGGCAGCTGTGCATGGTGCCCCTTGGCCTGGACTGAGAAATACACCGCGTGGAGCTAACCTGACCTGCTGATCGGCAGCGAGCTCCTGGCTTTCAGTCTGACCCCTCGCCCCAGCACTTTGCCTATGGCTGGACTGCTCCAACTCATCGGGTCAGGGACCGGCTCTCCCCACAAGTTTGTACAGCGCCTTGCACGTCACAGATGCTGTCGACACTACAGCAGCCAGGCAGCAGCTAAGATTTGTATAAAAATAGTTTATTAAAATTTTACACATATTTATAAAATAGTTTTTAAAACCTCAGGCTGTCGGCAGTGGGACAGCGGCTCCTGGGGGCGAGGGACATTCACAGCTGTTCCAGCCCCACCCCCATGTCAGACAAGCATAGCAGGAGCGAACCGGTGGGCACTGCAAGAAGCTGCTCTCAGAGCGAGGGAGAAACGCCCAGTTCTCAGGATTAAAAGGGCACAGGAAGAGCCAGAGGGCTCCTGATGGGGAGGGGGCTGGCAGAGAGCCGGGTCACTCCACAGACACCAATGCTCGGTCATGTTTGAACACATGCTCACGAACACAACTAGATTCTAGTGCAGACAGGACACAAGCATTGGCGCCAACTTGAGGGGGACCCTGGGGACATGTGGGTCCAGCCTGCACGAGTTATCCCAGGTTAACTAGGATGAGGATTCCCGCACCCACGTCTGGCCCAGGGACAGCTTAGCCAACACATCTGAGTGCTCTAGTGCGGACAGGGCAGGATGTAACACGTTAGCTGGGAGGAGGGAGCTCACTCCACAGGGCCAGCTGAGCAGGACAATGCAGATGGCTGTCCGCACTAGGGCGAAGCTGTTCCAAAGTCTGTTATCCTGGTCTAGTCAGAGCCCGGGGTCAGGTGACCCCAGGGCTGACGCGCGGCACAGGGCTGGGGGCAGTCAGCACAGGGATTTTTGTCCGGAAGGGGTCAGCATCAGCAGCCCCCGGGAGATTTTAGGGCTAGGGTCACAGATGGGCTTTGAGAGTTGTGCTGGGCTAAAAGATGGCTATCCTCCCCCCCCACCACCACACACAGGGAGGGGCTGGGAACAGCACGGGGACGAGCACAGCCCAAGGCTGGGACAGGTCAGGGTGGAAGAGGAGAGCCAGGAGCTCAGGACCAATCTCCAGAGAGGGACAGATGCTGCTGGGACATGGGGTGGCCTCTCCCGGGGCAGGGGGACGGAGGGGCCTCCTTTGATCTATAGGCAGGACATTCAGAGCTGAGCAGGGCCCGGGGGGG